TAATGAACTTCTCAAATGCAATGTGTTCATCTTCGGTGGCTTCTCGTGTGTCCAGTACTTCCATTCCTTCAATTGATATGTTCATTAGTTCATTCAGGCAGAAGGCGACTTCTTTCAGAACACAAAATTCTATTCAATGACGAAAAAGAACGCTCAACTGTAGCTGTTGTGACTGGGAGTAGCAAGAGATGAATTCCTACTTCTTTCATCCCAGGAAACATAGCACAAAGATCCGGTCAAGCTACTATCTTTCAGAACACAAAATTCTATTCAATGACGAAAAAGAACGCTCAACTGTAGCTGTTGTGACTGGGAGTAGCAAGAGATGAATTCCTACTTCTTTCATCCCAGGAAACATAGCACAAAGATCCGGTCAAGCCACTAGTGATGATAAAAAAGAAGTAAAATCTTCATTCATTCGTCGTATGATATTCCACTCTGTGTTCAAATTCTCTATTCTGTCCTGAGCACATGGCAACCCCATTGCTGGTAGTGCCTCGCTCCACTCATCTGTAGGTGTTTTATAGGACAGGCATGTGTAAAAGCTATGTAGAGGTTGAGTAGAATCTAGAAGTCACTGTTGTAGATTTTTAAGAATCAAGTCTGTGTACTTTTTCAGTTGTCTTAACAAATGCTTCTTGTCCTCTTCACTTAAGGATTCAATATAAATGCCTTCATTAGTCAACTTCTGGACTGAAATCTTTGCTTCTTCCAGTACTTTTTCAATGGATAGCTCTTTGATTGATCCAAATGTAGCTTCTATTGCTGGACAAAGATCTACTACTGTTGTAGCAGATGCCTGGATTGCATTGTTTAATGTCCCAAGTGGTTTCAACAGTAGATTTACGAGAGAGAGAATGGCAATAATCTTTCTCTAAATGTAGTAGCAAAAATAATCCACCAGCCTCACTACTTAGATCCCTCCCATCTTGGTAGATACTTTCCAAAGCCAGTAATAACGACTGGAGTAATTTTAAGACAACAGCCAAGGATCGCTCATGAAAAAGCCAATGGATTTTCCCAGGTTGGACTAATTTGAACTTCAGTCCCAGTGTATCTTCTATATTTTTCAGGATATTTAGTCTTTCTGGACTCTTGCTGAAAAAAGAATATAATGAAGTCATTAAATGTATAGCTTTTAAAATGTCTTTTGAAGATTCTGCAGCTCATACTAGTGCTAGTTGGAGTAGATGGCCTCTGCAGTGTGTATAGGAAAGATTAGAGTTACACTTTTCTCTGAGCAAAGCTTGTACTCCACCATGTTTTCCAGAGAAGTTTGCAGCTCCATCAAATGCACAAGCAACCATCTGTTTGGGGTCCAATTGACAAGCGTTTAACTCTTCTAAGATGTGGATTGTCACAGATGCAGCCGGTGTGTTTTCTATAACTCGAACATCTAGAAATGCATCTACTGGCCTACCACTGACATCAAGATAACGTACACAATGACTTAATACTTGATGCCCATTTGCATCGGTGCGTTCATAAGCCATGTATGCAAATTTTTTGAATGTGGTGAGAGAGTTCTTCACTTTTTCAACTGTTGAGTCTTTCACTGTTGCACTGCATGCTTCTAACCAGTCAGTTGAGTTTCTTGCAGAAAGATAGTGAGCATTGCTGGTCTTGTTCAGAACCAGATTTCAACTTCAGGATGAACAAGTGACAATGCACTTAACATTGGCCTCCAGTTTGTAGTGTGTGGTATCTCTTGCTTAAATAGAAAGTATGATGCCACTGCCATGTTTGTTCGCATGAACTGTGTTGTGTCTCCAGCATTCTTAACAGCCTCATTAAGTACTTCTAAAATTGTCTTTGAAAGTGTTTCTTCAGTAGGTAGCTATATTTGTGCTTCGGGCTGGTTGGATGTAGATAGACCACTTGACCCTTCAGATGACATGTTGATATATTCTTCGTTCTTGATGTGTTCTTCACCTTGGTTAGTTTTTGAGGTTTCTGAGTGGAAAAATTGTTGTATTGTTTTTTGTCTTTTCATTTTCACTTTGACTTGCAACATATAAAAGAGATATGAATAAATTAAATGTTTTGGTTAGGATAATGCAAATTTAACATAAGGATAATGCAAAATACACCAAAACACATAACAGAAAATATCATATTGCCTCTATATAAGTCACCCCTTTCCAAAAAAGATATATTGGAATTGGAAAAGGTACAGAGATGGGCAACTAAAATGATTAGGGGTATGAAACAGGAGGAGAGATTAAAATGACTGGGAATTTTCAGCTTAGAAAAGAGATGACTAAGGGGGGATTATGATAGAGGGTCTATAAAATCGTGACCGGTGTGAAGAAAGTGAATAAGGAAATGTTATTTAATCCTTCGCATAACACAAGAACTAGCAGTCACCCAATGAAATTAAAAGGCAGCAGATTTAAAAAAATCAAAAGGAAGTATTTCTTCACACAACATAAAGTCAACCCGTGGAACTCTTTGCCAGGGGATGCTGTGAAGACCAAAACTATAACAGGATTAAAGAAAGAACTAGATAAATTCCTAGAAAATAGGTCCATCAGTGGCTATTAGCCAGGATGGGGAGGGATGCAATTCCATGCTCTGAGTGTCCCTAGCCTTTTGCCAGAAACTGAGAATGGACAACAGGAGATGGATCACTTGATTACCTGTTCTGTTCATTCCCTCTGAAGCACCTGGCCTTGACCATTGTCGGAAGACAGGATACCGGGTTATATGGACCACTGGTCTGACCCAGTATGACCATTCTTATGTAAAAATTAATTATAATAATAAAAATGTTTAGTACAGAAACTCCCCAACGTAATGACCTCTCAAGATAACAACGAAGTGAGATAACAACCTTGGCAAATAGTGCATTTTAAAAATCTTGGCCACATTTATATGTTTCCATTCCCAGTCATAAATCTAGCATTCTGGAGCAAAGTCACTAAAATATAGTCCAACAAACAAATGTTTATTTAACGTGCCCCATATTTTTCCCTCCACCTCACTCCACTCACCGGTGTTGTCCTTAGTCAGTGGAGACTCAGAGTTCAGAGGTGCTTTCACATGAGTACACCTTCCAGGTGGGGGGCAATTTTTGCTCTGGCCACTGTTGTTCGTTGTGCCACCGTTCACTCCATCGCTTTGTTGCCAATGGCCTTGCGCTGTCACCTTCTGCTGCTACCTGCCACTGTGACCTCTGGGAGTTGGTCTCTTGAGGTTCCACCCAGCTCTCAGTGATTTCAGCTGAGCTCTCAGTGGGGGAACCTCGCTGCTAGAGCAGTCTGGGCTGTCCCCACAGCAGGACTAAGCACTTAGACCTGATGATCAGTGATTTCAGCTGTAGTGGTCACTTAACAAAACAAAAGACTATATATGGAGCCTAATCAGCTCTGTCTTTAAACAGTGGAGAGGGGCAGGGCAAATAGTACTTGTGACTCAGACAGACCATCAAGTAAAACACCTGTCCCCACCCTCTTTCTTGATGCCTTCAATCAGTACAGGTTAAATACAGTTCTACTGCCCTTTACTCATACAATAAGAACAACAACAATTCATTCCCCCACCCCACTCCACTCCGCATTCAAGTGATTTGTAACCCAACCCCAGCCAAAATCTATCACTTGGGCAACACAGCTCTGTTTACTGGATACCTAGGTAGATTAGGTATGAATGTAAATACAATCTGGTCCTGAAGCCTTTCCCTCCAGCTCCCAGGTCATCACTAGCTGTCTGGGGGTATGTCTACACTACCCCGCTAGTTCGAACTAGCGGGGGTAATGTAGTCATCCGCAGTTGCAAATGAAGCCCGGGAAATTCAAATCCCGGGCTTCATTTGCAACTGCGGATGACTACATTACCCCCGCTAGTTCGAACTAGCGGGGGTAATGTAGTCATCCGCAGTTGCAAATGAAGCCCGGGAAATTCAAATCCCGGGCTTCATTTGCAACTGCGGATGACTACATTACCCCCGCTAGTTCGAACTAGCGGGGGTAATGTAGTCATCCGCAGTTGCAAATGAAGCCCGGGAAATTCAAATCCCGGGCTTCATTTGCAACTGCGGATGACTACATTACCCCCGCTAGTTCGAACTAGCGGGGGTAATGTAGTCATCCGCAGTTGCAAATGAAGCCCGGGAAATTCAAATCCCGGGCTTCATTTGCAACTGCGGATGACTACATTACCCCCGCTAGTTCGAACTAGCGGGGTAGTGTAGACATACCCAGGGAGAGCTTATTTTGACTTTGCTTACAAATCATAATTTGAAATTATTCGGCTGGCCAACATCACCAAAATGAACGCACTGACATTGTCATAAAAAACAACAGCTGTATAAAAAAGCTAGTCTATGTTCATACTTTTTAAATCTATTATACTTTTTCAGATACACATATCTTATCATACACTGTATATGCTTTTAAAGTGTGTATTAATGTTTCATTTTCAATTCACATTTCCAAACAATCACTAAATTGGCATGTAACTAGTTCATTAAACAATCTTAGGGTATGTCTACACTAGCCCCCTAGTTCGAACTAGAGAGGCTAATGTAGGCATTTGAAGTTGCAAATCAAGCTTGGGATTTAAATATCCCGTGCTTGATTTGCATTTTCCTGGCCGGTCACCATTTTTGAAATTTACAAGTCCGGACTAACTACCTGCATCTACACGCGGCAGGGACCCAGTATTTCGAATTAAAGCCCCTACATTGTCTACACTAGCCCCCTAGTTCGAACTAGAGAGGCTAATGTAGGCATTTGAAGTTGCAAATCAAGCTTGGGATTTAAATATCCCGTGCTTGATTTGCATTTTCCTGGCCGGTCACCATTTTTGAAATTTACAAGTCCGGACTAACTACCTGCATCTACACGCGGCAGGGACCCAGTATTTCGAATTAAAGCCCCTACATTGAACTACCTGTTAAACCTCCTTGCAGGGAGGTGGTGGAATCTCCAAACCTAGAGGTTTTTAAGTCTCAGCTTGACGAAGTCCTGGCTGGGATGACTCAGTTGGGATTGGTTCTGCTTTGGGCAGGGGGCTGGCCTCCTGAGGTCTCTTCCAGCCCTATGATTCTATGATTCTAATCAAATAAAGGCAGATAGAACAATCAGTTTAACATTCAGGGAGATAGATAGTTCTGTGTCAACCTCATAGAAGCAATGGGTAAATAACTAAGGGAATGTCCCAGAAGGCATTGGAGCTGGTCTTGTTGAAGAAGGTTAAGAATCCAGCAACTTTGAGGCACTCCTGAGAGGCAAGGAGGAAGAGTTAATGAAGCGCTTCCATCGGAAACTATAAAGGTAGCAGTTAGAGAAGGAGTGAAATCCGAAGAGAAGATGAGAGCTCTTGGGATACTGCCTCCTGCTTCAAGTGCTTAAGAAAGAAAAACTGTTTGTAACTCTTGCTAATAGGAGCTGAATGTGTGCCATGCCCAGCAGTACTGAAAGCACAACCGATGCCAAGTACGGTTAGGTGAGAAAAGAAAGGAACCCATGGTTACAGGAAAGAAATCATCCAGTAACTCAGAGGTGGGCAAATGCCAGCCCGCAAGTTGGAGCCGGTTCCCCAGGGTAAGCCCCTCATAGGCCGTTGTTGCTATATTTGCCTGCACTGCCTCAGGTATGGGCAATCACAGCTCCTACTGGCCACAGATCACCGTTCCCAACCAATAGGAGCTGTGAGAAGTGGTGTCCCAGTTCACACTGCCTCCCGCAGCTCCCATAGGCTGGGAACGGCAATCTACAGCCAGAGGAAGCTGCAATCACCCGTACCAGAGGAGACACAGGTAAATATAGCAGTGGTGGCCTGCCAGAGTCTAACAGTGGTGAATCACCACCATTTTATTGCCCCCCCTGCAGTAACTAGAGCCCTTGAAATCCATGGACATCTTTGGCTCATTTTTGCAGAGGCAAATTTTGTATCCACACACAGGGCTCTAGCAGTAAACGCTTCCTGAGGAAGGGCAGTCTCAGAATATAACACCCTTGTAAACATGTACTGTAATTATTCAATATGTATTGTGAAGGGAAAATACAAATATTTATTGCAAAAATGTGACTCAAAGGAATGAAAAGTGAAGCCTAACAGTGGAATTGAGACATTTTAAGTAACTGTTTACTGTAAGTAGCCAAATCTTGTCATGTCCTGTGGGCTTCCTAGTAAGATTATTATCCATGATTCACTCTTGTGGATACTGACGTACAATAGCTCTAATATGTAGTCTTATTGCATGTTGCGAGTAATTAATGTCCATTCCGTCCTTTTTTTGCAGCTAGGCATGCACACTGTGGCTGCGTCTAGGCTGGCATGATTTTGCGGAAATACTTTTAACGGAAAAGTTTTTCCATTAAAAGGATTTCCGCAAAAGCACGTCTAGATTGGCACGGATGCTTTTGCGCAAAAAGTGCCATTTTAGCCATCGGGGCTTTTTTGCACAAAACAGTTCTTCCCTGTCTACACTGGCCCTCTTGCACAAGTATTCTTGCGCAAGAGTGCTTTTTCCCAAGCGGGAGCGGGAAAGTATTTGCACAAGAAGCACTGATTTTGTACATTACAAAGTCAGTGCTCTTGCTCAAATTCAAGCGGCCAGTGTAGACAGCTGGCACGTTTTTGCGCAAAAGCGGATGCTTTTGTGCAAAATCTTGCCAGTCTAGACACATCCTGTATGAATAGCAGTGAAATTTTTTTTATTTATATAGGACCATTCATAGCAAAATATTTTACATAGATGGGTATTTATATCCCAGTCTCATTGATGGGGGAAACTGGCAGGGAGCATGTAAATGATTTGCCTACAACAGGGCACTGGTCAAAATGAAAAAAGAACATGAGACAGGAGATCTAGGTTCTCAGTCCCAAACACTCAAAACTTGTGATATGGAAAGGGTTAGGTGTGCCAGCTCTTCTGGGGAGAATGTTTATTAATATGCCACTATTTGCTTTTTCACAAAACAATGTTTGTGGCAAGAGAAATGAAACATTACCTGAATATTTTTAGAAAAGCCAATTGACAAGGATA